GGCGCGGGCGGATGCCGGGGCTTCTCAGCACCCTCTGGGCAGGCAGGTGGGCAAATCTCGGTGTGCGCTGCCTCCCAGGCCTGGCCGCTCCTGCTGCGCGGCCTGCGGGGCCCCCGCGCTGCTCCGCGCGGCCCGGAGCCTGGAGCCGCGGGCTCTGCGCGGGGACGGACGTGAAGCGCCCGCACGAACAGTCCCGTGCCTGCCGGCCAGGGCTTGTTCCAGCTTTCTGTCACAGCAGCTGCGTGAGACTGAACGTCACTAAATATAGCGTCTTGTCCAAGAGAAACTATTCGTATCTATCATTCATATCAATGCTTAATGAAAAAACCCTGCTATTTATAGCATAGGAAAAGGATTTTTTTAAAGTTCTCTTTAACCTTTTCACTAGTAATTTCTGAAATCAGACTGTGACTGAAGATGAATTTTATTCTAGAAATAAAACTTTTTCCATATCTTTTTTTCTTGTAGCAGGGTCTTTGATGACCACAAAGCATTCACAGCCACAGTCTACACTTGCAAAAAGTCTAACTTCAACAAGTACAAATGCTCCTTATTTTAAAGCAGCAGGTACAGTGTGTTGTTTCTTTTGATTTTTCTTCTGTGGCCTTTTTTCCTTAGTGTCTTGAACTTAATAGTAAAGTTCTTGAATTATGTGTTTGAAACCTGCATGTGCTTTCAGAGTACTAAAAAACATTAACACATCATTATTACTTTTCAGTGTCTTTAGCAACTAGTTTGGGTTGTATAATAAAAAATCAGCCTATATAAGGTCTTACAACTAGAAAACAACCACTTAAACTGCTCTGTGGTTCATGTGTTTTACGCCCTGTCAGGATGATGGAAATTCTTTAAAAACTGCAGCATTTTGCAGGAATTTGTTACTGTTCCCTATTCAACACAAATACTGTGTTTGTAGCTTACTAAGGGGTGCATCAAGATTGTCTGGAATGCTGTTCTTGCTAGTAAATTGAGGGTTTTCTAAATGCATATAAACAGCAAATGGCTGAGCTAGTGGCTGACTTTAATTAGACCTCAACTAAAAGTAGGTTACACGTGTCAGCCTTCTTCTGTACCTAAACTGATTACTTCCACCGAGAAATGCTGGCTGAGGTGGTGCTAATCTGCGCTAAGCTCTGTTGTGGTGCTGTGCTGTCCTCACAGAGCTTGGGTGAGACCCTTGCAGGGTGCCCTGCTGTGTTGTGTAGCTCACTTGGCTAACACGGCTTCCCGTGACACAAAGGTGTTGTGCTGTTTGCTGGATAATAAGGAAGCCCTTCATAGAGCCTCAGTACATGGGGGATGTATACAGATGTGAAAAAGAAAGCATGTGTATATGTGTATATATACTTCAGACTGTATAGCTTTTAAAGTTGTTTTTTTAATTTCATTCACATATTTCACATTTCAGAAAGTACAGAAATTCCATCTTACGTGACTAAATGTCCTAGCAACGGGCTTTGCAGTAGATTGCCACCAGACTGTATGACATGTAACACAAACTATTCCTGTATATATGGGAAGCCAGCCACTTTTGATTGCAAAGTCAAGCCACATGTTCATTGTGTTGTAAGTAATCTGTTGCTTTGAAACACAAATTTAAGTTATTTAATTAAGGTGTGGTATCTTGTAATAAAATACAAAAAAATGATTTCCAGGATCTTCCGTAGGCAGGTTTCCAGGTCTGTGACACACTGAATCTGGTTCAGCTGGGGCCATTGCTGTAGAGGCAGACCTTGTGTTTCTCTGTTTTGCCTTCCTTGTGTTGGATTGTTTTGTTACACACCCATACAATTGAGTTCAGTCCATTTATTGACCAATCAAAATGGATGCATTTTGAGAGTGTGGAGGCTAAATGTCTGTTAGAGGTACAGATTGATCTTACAGGTGAGACTGAGTCCTCCTTTTGGCAGTAGCCTTAGGTTGGAGGAAGCTCTACTGTTAAACTTCACTTTAATAATTTCTTATCATTTTTCTAATGTTGATTTTTCTATTGTACTTGATGACATAGAGGTAGCAAAGGGGGTTATAGTTACTTTTGCCCAAAATGTCTATCCATGAAATGTCATTTGATGCTGCACACCATAAATTTTTGGTGTGACTGGTGAGGTAACAATGCTGTCCTTTTACAGGATCAGAATAACCACGAGCAGGAGAACTTTACCATTAACATGACGTGCCAGTTTTGCTGGCAGCTTCCTACAACTGATTATGTATGTACCAACTCTACAAGCTGCATGACAGTTTCCTGTCCACGACAACGATACAACGCCACTTGCACAGTACGGGATCACATTCATTGCCTGGGTAAGTGGCCTGGAACAGTAAAGCAGCTTTGTTTCTAAATAATTTAATTACATTTTTGTAATGGGTCAATACAATGATTCTTTGTCCATTGCAGTAACAACCTGCACCTTGATTAATCTACTGAATTTTTTTATAGTTACATTTTATTTTTTAAGCATTAGAGGGAGATATAACTGAAAACACTGGGTTTTAATACTGTTGTATACCTTCACTTGAGAGCAGATCTGTTTTATTTTTGTATGATTCTATAAATTAAACTAATGTAGACATAGAATCAATATCAAATGCCTCCATAGGATAATTTACAAAATTAATGTTGGTTTCACCCAAGTAGTTTAACTTTCCCCCTATTTCTTGCATGATTTCTGATGTGGGGCAGAGATGGGTGAAACAGAGGACTGTGAACTATATATGAGCTTTTGTGTTCAGACTGTTTGTTTCAATGAGTGTCAACCCTCTTAGGCTCTGGTTAGAGAAACACACTAATTTCTTGCTTATTTTCTTAGTATTAAGTGGTCTTTGTTACATCAAGATGTTTTCTAATGTTTAGGTAATCGTGTGTTTCCTAAGATGCTCTATTGCAACTGGACTGGAGGTTATAAGTGGTCTACTGCCTTGGCACTAAGGTAAACAAGAACTGTTTAGATAGTGTCAAGCTAGAATAGATAATATTAGAAACATATTAATTGTCTATAAAATCTTCACTTTGTGTGGTTTTTTGCTTGGTTTTTTTTTAATGGTGTACTGAGTAACCAATATTTCATGCAGTCTAGCTTAGAATTTGGAAGCATAGGATGCCCAAAGATTTCATATGCAACAATACCAGCTGTGTTTAGTAAACAGAGCTCAAGAGAAAACAACTCCCCTATTTCAGCATGGAATGTACTGCCTCTGGAGTTAATGCCAGTGATCCTTAGGCTTCACAAGGTGATGCATTTTCTGAGAGGAGGACATACTTACATTTTGTGTGGTGTCAAATGAGATACAAATGCTCCAAAAGGTCTGTAGGTTTACAGATTTTTTTTATCCCAGTTTTTAATATGCTTGAAACAGTTAGGGCTGAAGATTCTAAAAACTACTTCTGGCATCTGAAATTAATTTAGTAGATGCCACTGAGCTTGGGTGTAGCTGGTATGCATTGCTTAGAGCTTCCTTCCCATGAGAGCTAGAAAGGCCTTAAGACAAAGTTTCTTGCATTTTAAATTATTAGGGATGAGAACAGTGTAGCAGTTGAAAAAGTATTTAGGCTATTTTGGAATATGAAGTCATCAGAGCACTACAATAGCGATTGAAAGTAACTGAAGTTCTTTTGGTGATAAGACCTTTTAAATTGAATTTTAATAATTCGAAAGTGGTCAGTATGATAAATTAGGTTACGAGATGGTTCCTGAAGCCAAAGATACTACTGGGTGTAGTGTTTGGGTCTGTTTCTAAAGCTTATTTCTTGGGGTTTTTTAACTTCTGCTAGCTTGGAAAATTAACACAATTATAAATTTGAGAGTTTGGGGGTCTTTTTGTTTGTCATTAATGCAAAACTTTCAAGTCAATGTATCATATTAGCTCAGAAATAGTGCAATTTCATCAAAAGCTTTATCATTTAATAACCCAGTCAGCTCTTTTGAACAAAAAGTGTATAGTTTATTCAATGGTGTAGAGCAAAACTATCATCAAGTTGTAGATATGTCAGAAAAAAGTGTGTATGGATACCCAAACTGAGTTAATCTAAAATAATAACAGTGAATCACGTGTTTATTCCTATAGCATCACTCTTGGTGGATTTGGTGCCGATCGCTTCTATTTGGGTCAGTGGCGGGAAGGTTTGGGAAAACTCTTCAGCTTTGGAGGACTTGGAATATGGACACTAATTGATGTGCTATTAATAGGTGTTGGCTATGTGGGGCCTGCAGATGGTTCTCTTTATATTTAAATGTGGGTGCAACATGTTTCAGAGAGGTATAATTGCTTGGAAAGGGCTCTAAATAAAAAGAGAGATGTGAGTTGTTAAGGTAAAATGAAGAACAGCTGTTCTTTCTCTGTGCATACATTTTATTGTACAGTATCTGTACTTAGTTTGCCTTGAACTAAGGTAAAATAAAAGAGTGGATCTGAGTAAGTTGAAATTGGTTTTCTTCTGTGGACATGCTATTTTTCTATGAAAAAAAAAAGTTGAACAGCTAACCAAATTCTGCAGTGTGCTTGAACTTGTATGCTCTGTCAGGCACCCAGAGAAATGCAATCTTACTTGAATATTGAGGTATTTACTTCATCTTTGTATGCTTGAATTTAATTTAAAGCTAACTTCCCTAAATATGTCAGTAGTGTACTTTTTTGTGTGTTTGTGGGAGGATAACTTATTTGCCTGAGTTACACTGGCAGTATATAGATCACAGTTTATGATGTGAATTACATTCAGCTCTGTGTTGGGATATAGCAAGAGCTAACATTTGCTTAGGAGCTTGTTGACTTAAAATGTTGGTGTTTTTAGAATGAGATTGCAGTAACACTAAAAGCTAAATATTAAATAATTGAAGTAGATCTTGTTTGACCTGCATATCAATGAAAGGCACAACTCATATTCATGTGCTAGCAAGTCTGCCAAGTTAGTTTGAAAAAAGAGTTGGCAATATAATCGGTGTGTTTATCCACTTCAGACTTCATAACAAGCTAATGTAGCGAACTCTAGTGTCATTACAGAAGAAGGACTTAATTTATTTGGCTGACATGCCCGCAGCTGGCTGCCTGCTGCTCGCCCAGCCCTCTGGCCCTGCCCTGCCCCTGCCCCTGGGCTTGAACTGTCGCAGCACTGAGGTGCGGTACCTCTGAAAATCCTGTCACTTGAATAAACTTGAAGCTTTTACGGAATTTAATACTGATGGTGTTTTTTGTGACCAGGCCTTTGCGCCTGCGGTTGATGGCGGGAGGGAGGGAGCGTGGAGCGGTGGGGCAGCGGCTGCTGCGGGCCCGGCCCGGGGCGGGAACGGGCAGGCGCCGGTCGGGCCGGGTGCTGGGGGCCCGGGGCGGTGCTGGGAGCCCGGGGCGGTGTTTG